GTTTCTGCCATACAAATTACATCTTTATACATTTTATGCCAACTAAATAAGACAGGAGAAAAAAGAGTTACAAAGACTATATTGATATTAGCTTTTATATTAACCCATGTAGTTACCTTTACGAGTGCTCTTATTTCTTCATGTAGATTCAAGTTACTGTCTAGTGTCTTTTCGTTTTAACCTAAAGAGCTCCCTCTAGCATTTCTTACAGAGTAGGTCCGCTAGTGATTACTTCTCTTAGTTTTTATCTGGGAATGACTTAATTTCTCCTTCATTCTTGAAGAACAGTTTTGCTGGATTTAGAATTTTTGGTTTATAGTCTTTCTCCTTCAATCTTTCAAATATGTCATCCCACTGCCATTTGGCCTCCAAGGTTTATATGGAAAAACAACGGACTGTTAATCTTTCTGAGGCTTTCTTGTATATGATTATTTGTTTCTCTCTTTCAGGATTCTCTCTTTGACTATGGCTTTTTTTTTTTTTCAATTTGCTATGATATGTCTAGGAATAGATCTCTTTGAGTTTATCCTGAATGGAATTTGTTGAGTTTCCTGTGTAAATTAATATTTTTTTCATCATATTTGGGGATGAAATCTGATTTAAAATAGTCATTATTTACTCAAATATTCTTTCTGACCCTTTCTGTCTTTCCTCTCCTCCTCAGATTCCCATTAGGCATGTGTTGATACATTTGATGTTGTCCCAGGAACATTTCAAAGTGTCCCATAGGCTCTGTTATTTTACCTCATTCTTTTTTCTTTCTGTTCCTCAGACTGGATAATCTCAATTGATCTATTTTGAAGTTCATTGATTTTTTTTTTTTCCCAAGACAGTATCTCACTCTGTCACCCACGCTAGAGTGCAGTGGTGCAATCTTGGCTCACTGCAGCCTCCACCTCCCAGGCTCCAGCAATTCTCCTGCCTCAGCCTCTCGAGTAGCTGGGATTACAGGCGTGCACCACCACACCTGGCTAATTTTTGTATTTTTGGTAGAGATGGGTTTCACTATGTTGGCCAGGCTGGTTCTTTCTTCTGTCAACTCAGATATGTTGGGAACCTCCAGGAAATTTATTATTTCAGTTATTGTAGATTTCAACTCTAGAATTTCTATTTGGTTCTTTTATTTATTTCTTTTTGCTAAAATTATTTATTTGGTGAGACACCATTTTGATACTTTCAGTTCTTTAGAAATGGTTTTCTATAATTCTTTGATCATATTCTTTGATCGTATTTAACATAACTGATTTAAAGTCTTTGTCTCTTAAATGCAGCATTGAGGTTTCCTCAGGAATGGTTTCTATTGACTACTTCTCCCCCTGTGTATGGGCCAGACTTTCTTTTTTCTTTGTATGTCTTACTAGTGTTTTTTGTTTGTTTGTTTGTTTTTTGAGACAGAGTCTCGCTCTGTTGCCCAGGCTGGAGTGTAGTGGCAAGATCTCGGCTCACTGCAACCTCCACCTCCTGGGCTCAAGTGATTCTCCTGCCCCAGCCTCCCGAGTAGCTGGGATTACAGGCACCTGCCACTATGTCAAGCTAATTTTTTGTATTTTTAGTAGAGACGGGGTTTCACCACGTTGGCCAGGTTGGTCTTGAACTCCTGACTTCATGATTCGCCCACCTCAGCCTCCCAAAGTTCTGGGATTACAGGCGTAAGCCACTGCACCCAGCCATGTCTTACTAGTTTTTGTTGAAAACTGGATATCTTAAATAATATTATATGGCAGCCATGGAAATCAGGTTCTCCTCCCTTCCATGTGTTTGTTGTTGTTGCTGTTTGTTGTTACAATTGTTGCTGTTATTCTTGTTTAGTAGCTTTTCTGAACTAATTATGTAAAGTCTGTTTTCTTTGTTGTGTGTGGCCACTAAAGTCTGTGCTCTGTTAGCTTAGTAGTCACCTACTGACTGGACAGACATTTTCTTACATGTCTGGAACCAGTAAGACTCCCAGTATTTCCCAAGAGGCTCTGTGTATGTACTGGGGTATGCCTTCGACATTCAACCAGGCAGTTTACAACGCTACCTTAGCTCTCACTGACTGCTTGTTCAGAGACTCAAGGTTACCAGAGGTGAGAGCTTAGGGCCTTCTCAAGTCTTTCTTGGACATACAAACAGCCCTGGACAGGCACAGAGCCTTACACATCATGCACACAGTTCTCTAGATTCCCAGGAACATTTCAAAGTGTTTTAAAGCCCCCATTGGACATCTCATTCCCCAGTTCTCCTTTTAAGCTTTTTGGTTAGCCTATTGTTTGCCCCAGCTGTCATGCAACACTTCGCACAGCCATGATGTTCAACAATTGCCTCTGATTGCTTTTGCCAATCTCAGAGAAAAGGTTGTTCACACTGATTGGGCTCTGAGCCAGGTTAAATAAAGATAGCCTTGTGAGTAGTATCAACCACTGGATAAATCAAATAATGACAATTCTCTGGGTATGACAATTTTAAGGTGCTCCAAATCCATTCTACCTCCTCCAGTGACTGCCAGGCTACTGATTTTCACCAAAATTTTGGGCTGTTGGTTTTCAAACCTACTACAGAACTAGGTAGGACAGGGGATACAAGGCAACTTAGATGCTGCAGAACTCACTGTTCTCAGATTTAGCTGTTTTCCTTGAAAAGACACTTCCAGGTCGGGCGCAGTAGCTCACACCTATAATCCCAGCACTTTGCAAGGCCAAGGCAGGCAAATCACAAGGTCAGGAGTTTGAGACCAGCCTGGCCAACATGATGAAACCCCGTCCCTACTAAAAACACAAAAAATTAGCTGTGTGTGGTATTGGGCACCTGTAATCCCAGCTACTTGGGAGGCTGAGGCAGGAGAATTGCTTGAACCCAGGAGGCAAAGGTTGCAGTGAGTCAAGATTGCGCCACTGTACTCCAGCCTGGGCGACAGTGTGAGACTCTTAAAAAAAAAAGAAAAGAAAAGAAAAGACACTCCCTAGATTTGCTGCAAACGTTTGGTTAATTTTGAGTTCTGAAAAAAAATTGATTCTGACTATTTTTGCTGGCATTCTCACTGCTTTTAAGGAAGAGAGGATTTTCAGAGATCTTTGCCAATTTTGCTGACATTCAATTGAACTTCAGTTTAGCCTTGGGTGGGCTTAAAGACTTTGTTAAAACCTTCCCTCTTTGACTATCATCTTTGTTGTTCCTTAGAAATATTTCTTTGTCTCTGTCTGTTTATGGTTTGAAATTCCCAAAAAGTATTTCAAGAAATGGCTGCTCCCCATCAGGGCTCTCTTCAGCTCCAGGATAGTCTGATGAAACCAGACTCCCCCAACCCTGTGGTCAGTTTCCTGGCTGCTGCTCAAGGGCTGCCAGCCTGGAGGGGAACTGGAGCTCCACACTCTGCAATGGCGCCTCTCCTTCAGCACCCTCTCTGGTAGCTTACTGGAAATGAACATGGACTCACAGAGATTCCAGGGCCCTAAGGGGGCCGGAGTGAATGCAGAATCCTTTCATTTGTTCATCTATTCATGTAACACCCATTCTTGAAGGTCTGCTCTGTGCCCTGAATACTGTCATTGCCAACAGCAAACCCTTGCATGTTGTTTTATATCCTTGATTTCCAATTTCCTCTGCTGCTGGCATGACAGGGATGACATGATAGTGACCACTTGGATTGCCCTGTGCCCTCCTGGAGAAATTCTGAAACCCAGACACCAAACCTGACCCCGAAGGCACCAAAGAGAAATGCTAGAGAACCTTGGGAGGTACATAGCCACCCATGAGCATTTTATCCACCATTTGCTGGGCATGTGATCTTGAGCCAGACAAGTCACCTCTCTGACCTCTGATTCCTCCCTTAAAAAAATGGGCTAATTAGGTGAATGGCAAGGCCTGGCCCAGAGTAACAGCCTTACATAACAGAAATTGGTCTCTTCACCTGTCCTTTATTCTTTCCTCCCCTCGCCCACAGTTCTCTGAATCCTTGTTTCAGAAGGCTCACTTGACAGCCTCTGACCTACACCCTGCCCCAAGGACCATGGGACTCCTCTTCTCTGGCTGGAGAGGGCTCACAGGCTCTACTGAGGCAGCTATGGATGGCCTAGCCCTGAGAGGGAAGGTTCTGGAGACCAAAGCTGGAGCAGCTGAGGCTTGAAAGTCATGGAGAAAAGCTACTAATAAGGATGGACAATAAAAGCTAGCAGATAATAGGCTGGCAAAGCATCCACTCCAGGTGGCACCCTGGCTTTTGTGTGTCCTGTGTAGTCATAACCCCAGATCTTAGGTCCTGTGAAAAGAAAGCCTGGGCTGCAGCCTCAAAGGACACCCAGACATCCAGTGAGCCTATGGGGGCTGGACTCTAAAACCTGTAAGGTCAGGGCCAAACATGCTAGGGCACTTTGAGCAGGAGGCCTTCAGAGCGTCTGCAATTGTGCTTCTTAGGCAAACTTAGAAGAGGTCTCTTAACACCTCCACCTCTCCCCTCTCAGGACTTGAAAATTGTAGAAAAAGTACTGGTTTCCAATGTGGGCTGCAGAGTACTAATGGGTGGGATGACCTTGGCAAATTATTTAACCTCACTGAGTCCCAGGACCCAGGTCTTTAAACATAGAAGTCTACTCTCTGCTTCATGGTATTTTTATCAAAGTCAATGAGATGGGGTGGGGTGGGGGTGGACTGTGCACATGGCACAGAGCTTGGCATAGGGCAGGTGCACAGGAAATGTGACCAGCTTCTTCTGCAGTCAGTAAACCCTGCCACCCTCTGACCACCTCAGATTTCCCAGAAGAGGGATGATTCCTCCAGCCAACCTTTACTGAGCACTCTCAGAGCTAGAGCTATATAGTCATGCCCATGCGTAATGAAATAGAGAGGATGCAGGGGCATCCAGGACCTTCTCCACACTGAGAAAAGAAGATGGTAGCACACCCACCCTCTACCTAAAGCCTCAGTAACTATTCCAGGAATCTTGCCTTGATTCTCCAAGAAAGGTGCCCAGCTCCTGTCATCTGCCAAGATCACAGGACCACAGGAGGCATGCTTTTCTCTTGCAGCTTGGCCATTTACTACCTGAACTCAGTTTCCAAAAGCCTTTCCCGAGCTAATGCCCAGCTGAGGAAGAAAATCCAAGCGGTGAGTCTGTTGGAAGTTTCCTCCTGGAGGGTAAAAAGAAATCACGTTTTTGGTTTTTGCTAATTTGCTTTGTGAACCCAGCTGTGTTATCTAAATGGCTTTCTTCTAAACCAAATACCAAAATATCTGTATCATAGCAAGTAGCCTTGTGAGATTCAACAGCATGCATTTATATTATTGAGGCTATTTGGTGATTTGTGACAATAATGACTTAAATGTCGACGGGCTGCTAAAGAACAAGAGAAATTCAGTGAGTTCAACCAACGCCCATACAGAAAAACCCAGTACCCACAGTAATTCCTACAGATTCAAGTGATTATTTAAATACTGAAAGAAATGTTGTCAAAATGACGTATTTCTTGTGCCCTTTAGCCTAAAAGATCTCCTGAGTCTCCTTCACACGTGGGAAGCCTCTCTCAACATCCCAGCCGATACCCTACTTCTGACTGCTCTCTCCTGACACACACACACACACACTCCCTAAAATTCAGACCCTAACCCTCCCTAAGCCCTGTCCTTGCTTTCTCTGTCCCTCTTCCGGAATGAATCTCATCTGTCTTGCTACTGGTCCCCCATCCACACCTTCTTCTGGTTTTTTGTTTGTTTGTTTTTGTTTTTTAGATGGAGTCTCGCTCTGTCACCAGGCTGGACTGCAGTGGCACGATCTCAGCTCACTGCAACCTCCACCTCCCAGGTTCAAGTGATTCTCCTGCCTTGGCCTCCCAAATAGCTGGGACTACAGGCACGTACCACCACACCCAGCTAATTTTTGTATTTTTAGTAGAGATGGGGTTTCAACATGTCGGCCAGGATGGTCTCCATATCTTGACCTCGTGATCCACCCGCCTCAGCCTCCCAAAGTGCTGGGATTACAGGCATGAGCCACCGTGCCAAGCCCCTTCTTCTGTTAATCTCGCTGGGCTCCTGCCCAGGTACAGAAAACCACTGAAATAGAGGATTGGAAGGGTTGCTGTCCTCAGGCCACATGTTCCTTCAATAGCTGTGCGAATCTGAGAGCCTCACGCTGCCCTCTCCAATCAGTTGTGAGGACCAGTAACAGGCAGTTTAAGGTAGTTACCAAGAACTGAAAACAGGCCAGGCACGGTGGCTCACACCTGTAATCCCAGCACTTTGTGAGGCCGAGGCCGGTGGATCACCTGAAGTCAGGAGTTGAAGACCAGCCGGGCCAACATGGTGAACCTGTTTCTACTAAAAATGCAAAAATTAGCCAGGTATGGTGGCACACACCTGTAATCCCAGTTACTTGAGAGGCTGAGGGCCGGAGAATCGCTTGAACCCAGAAGGCAAAGGTTGCAGTGACCCAAGTTCATGCCGCTGCACTCCAGCCTGGGCAACAGAGTGAGACTCTGTCTCAAAAAAAAAAAAAAAAAATCACTCTCAGCACCTCTGAGCCTCAAATACCCATTTCCTGGGCCAGGATCAACAGTTCATTATTTTGTGCAGCTCCGTGAAGTTGAGAAGAGCCACAAATCTGTGAAAGGCAAAGCCACAGCCAGAGATTCAGGGGACACACCTAAAAGCAGCTCCAAAAATGCCACCCAGCTCCAACTCACCAAGGAAGGTAAGCTCTTTGTCATGATGATTATGTTTTACAAGGCCACATGGAAAGGTGTAAAGAGCCTATGAAACAGTGTGAAATCAGACTGTTCTGGGATTGAAATCAGAATCCTAACAATTATTAGCTGATGAAGTTGGGCAGGTGAATATAGGGGTCAATCATAGCACTTGCCTCATGGGATGGTGAAGATGAGATGAAATCATGCATGTAAAGTGCCTACCAGAATTCTTGGCACAGAGAATGAGCCAGTGAATACCAGCTGGCAGTAGTGCCGTCATACACCCCTTAATAACATTTGGCTCAACCATGGAACACATATACAGCGGCCCCATAAGATTATAATGGAGCTGAAAAATTCCTATTGCCAAGTGACGTAACTGTCAACATTGTAGCAAAACACATTACTCATGTCTTTGGTTTTTTTTTTTTTGAGGCAGAGTCTCGCTCTGTGGCCCAGGCTGGAATGCAGTGGCCGGATCTCAGCTCACTGCAAGCTCCGCCTCCCGGGTTTACCCCATTCTCCTACCTCAGCCTCCCGAGTAGCTGGGACTACAGGCACCCGCCACCTCGCCCGGCTAGTTTTTTGTTTTTAGTATAGACAGGGTTTCACCGGGTTAGCCAGGATGGTCTCGGCCTCCCAAAGTGCTGGGATTACAGGCTTGAGCCACCGCGCCCGGCCTCATGTCTTTGTTGTGAGCTGATGTAAACAAGCCTACTGAACTGCCAGTTACATAAAAGTCTAGGCCAGGCCTGGTGGCTCAAGCCTGTAATTCCAGCACTTTGGGAGGCTGAGGTGGGCGGATTACGAGGTCAGGAGATCAAGACCATCCTGGCTGACACAGTGAAACCCCGTCTCTACTAAAAATACAAAAAATTAGCCGGGCGTGGTGGCGGGCGCCTGTAGTCCCAGCTACTCGGGAGGCTGAGGCAGGAGAATGGCGTGAACCCGGGAGGCAGAGCTTGCAGTGAGCTAAGATTGCACCACTGCACTCCAGCCTGGGCGACAGAGCAAGACTGCGTCTCAAAAAAAAAAAAAAAAAGTCTAGCACATACAATTACATACGGTACAGAATACTTGATAATGATAATTGTGTTACTGGCTTATGTGTTTACTATACTATACTTTAGAGTAGATTCCTTCTACTTATATAAAAAATAGTTAACTATAAAACAGCCTCATGCAGGTCCTTCAGGAGGCATTCCAGAAGAAGGCATTGTTATCACAGGAGATGACAGCTCCATGTGTGTTATTGCCCTTGAAGACCTTCCAGTGGGACAAGACATGGAGGTGGAAGACAGTGATATTGATGATCCCAACCCTTTGTAGACCTAGGCTAATGTGTGTGTTGTATATTAGTTTTTAACAAGAAAAATTTAAAACATAAAAAGAAAAAAAATTCTTAGTTTAAAAACAGAAAAAGCTTATCAAATAAGGATATAAAGAAAAATATTTTTGTACAGGTGGTCACTGTATTTGTGTTTTAAGCCAACTGTTATTATAAAAGAGACAAAATGTTTTTTAAAATTTAAAAGTTTATAAAATAGAAAAGTTACAATAAGCTAAGGTTTATTATTGAAGAAAGAAAACTTTTTTTTTTATTTTGAGATGGAGTCTCGCTCTGTTACCCAGGCTGGAATGCAGTGGTGTGATCTCGGCTCACCGCCGCCTCCACCTCCAGGGCTCAAGTGATTCTCCTGCCTCAGCCTCCTGAGTAGCTGGGATTACAGGTGCCCACCACCATGCCTGGCTAATATTTTGTATTTTTAGTAGAGACAGGGTTTCACCATGTCAGCCAGGCTGGTCTTGAACTTCTGACCTCATGACCCACCCGCCTCAGGCCTCCCAAAGTGCTGGGATTACAGGCCTGAGCCACCGTGCCTGGTCTAGAAAAAATGTTTGTAAATTGAGTGTAATCTAAGTGTACAGTGTTTATAAAGTCTACAGCAGTGACAGTGGTGTCCTAAGCTTTCACATTCACTCATCACTCACTCACTGACTCACCTGGAGCAACTTCCAGTCCTGCAAGCTCCATTCATGGTCAGTGCCCTAGACAGGTTTACCATTTGTCATATTTCACATACTCTACCCTTTCTATGTTTATATACACATATATTTACCATTATGTTCCAACTGCCTAAAGTATTCGGTACAGTAGGTATTGTGCAGGTTTACAGTCTAGGAGCAATAGGCTAAACCATATAGCCTATGTGTATAACAGGCCATACCATCTAGGTTTGGGTAAGTACATTCTATGATGGTCACACAACAAAATCATCTAATGATGCATTTCTCAGAATGTATCTGCATCTTTAAGCAATGTGTGCTATAGTTTATATTCTCTGAAAAGAGAAGCACTGGAATATCTAGAATAATAGAGTGAGAAAAGTCCACATAAAAAGTTCCCAAGAAAGTATCTTGGGGCTAATGCTTCTCGGCCTTTTGGCTAAGGTCAAGTGAAAATATCCTGGGGCTTCAAAGTGGAGTGATCATAGACCATCTCAAATTAGGAGTGAGGACAGTTCAAGTTGAAACAAACCATCTCTGAGGTGATCCCATTTTCCAAAGATCATCTCTGTTTTAAAATTAAACAGTATCTGCATGCAGACACTTTAGCCTTGGATGTAAGAAGTGAATGAGATGCATAAGGAATGACTGACAGTTTAGGAATCTGAACTTTATTTTTTTGAAACAGAGTCTCACTCTGTTGCCCAGGCTGGAGTGCAGTGGCGCAATCTCTGATCACTGCAATCTCTGCCTCCCAGGTTCAAGCGATTCTCCTGCTCAGCCTTCTGAGTGGTTGAGATTACAGGCACCTGCCACCATGCCTGGTTAATTTTTGTATTTTTAGCAGAGATGGGATTTCACCATGTTGACCAGGCTAATCTCAAACTCCTGACCTCAAATGATCAGCCTCAAGTGATCCACCTCAAATGGCCTCCCAAAGTGCTGGGATTACAGGCATGAGCCACTGCACCCGGCCTGACCTTTTTTTTTATACAAGCATTCCAATTTCTTAGTAACTGGCATTTTATTTATTTATTTATTATTACTAAGTATTAGCTATAATAAAATGATACTAGCTGCTGCAACAAAGAGACCCAAAATGGCTAGTGGCTCAGACACCATAAAAGTTCACTTCTCACTCAACACAAAGTTCAAACTGGGTGTTTTCACCTGACAGCCACAAGTGCTGATATGGGGACCCTGGCGCCTTCCATCTTGTGGCTCTGCCTGCATCAAGCTAGTGCAAGGGGAAGAGCTTAGGGGACACACCTGGATGTGGTTCCATCAAAGCCTGGAACTCCAGCATAGGCCACACTCATCCACAAGGGAACCAGAGCCCATTTCTGTGTCCCAGAACAAGAGGGACTGGGTTTAGTAGAGAGCAGTCATTGTCCCTAACTTGGAGATAGAGGAGGGGAAGGAAACAAGTTAATGAAGGATTGGAAAGTAGATTTGATTCCAAACAATTCCCACAGCCCCTTCCCTTCCATCATCACATTTGACCCTGGCAGTCACCCTGCAAAGCTGCTGTTATTCTTGTCTCAATTTTATACTCTAGAAAACCCGGGATCAGAGAGTCTAGCCTAAGGCCAGGGTTCAAAATCAAGTTCCCTAGCCAGCAGACCATACTCCTCCAACAGATGTGTTTATGCAAAAGCCAGGCCAAGGTGACCCTGAGACAGCTGAGCACAATCTGACAGCTCTCACATCACCAAATGGACTAAAACCTACACACACTGCAGGGCGGCTCCAGAGAGCTCCAATTCAACCTGTACAAAATCTCCCACTTCCTCTTTCTTGTCTTGGTTCATTTTCCAGAGACCACCCCTCCCTCTGCCAGCCAAAGCCAGGCCATGGACAAGAAGGCTCAGGGTCCTGGAACCTCCAATTCTGCCAGCTGGACCGCGCTGCCTGCCTCTGGACACCTTCCTATATCTCGGCCCCCTGGAGTCAAACCAGATTCTGGCCACGCCCCATCTCAGACTCATCTGTGGAGGTCAGCCTCTGGGAAGAGTGCTCAGAGACCTCCGCACTGATGGATGGGACTCCAGGCAGCCTCCATCCTGGGGCTGATCCTCAAGTTCCCCAGTTTTCCATATACCAAATTGAGGTTCTCTCCCCTCTTTCCTCTCAGATACATGCTCTCTCTCCTCTCTTGGAATGTGTGAACTTTGATTCCTTCAGGCCCTTGTCAGCTACCAAAGGAGGAAGACAGTGGCTTCACCTATCTTTTAGGGAACCTGGAGGCATCTCTGCACTAACTGCCCTCACCAATATCTTGGTCCAGACAGCTCTGAACCCCACACTCGCAGTAGTTGACATCGCCTCCAGATTTTGGGAGTTGGGGAAGGGCCATGACCACCCTCGTAGACTTTTTCCATGGGACACAGTTTAGGACGCGGGTTTCTTCCAGCTTCCCTAGCTGGGAGGGGGATGCGGAAGGGCCTACATTTCTCAATCCAGAGGAAGTGAGCTGGTTTAAATGGAAGGTCCAGGCCAGGCACAGTGGCTCACACCTGTAGCCCCAGCACTTTGAGAGGCCGAGGTGGGTGGATCACTTGAGCCCAGGAGTTCAAGACCAGCCTGGGCAATGTGGCAAAACCCCATCTCTACAAAAAAATTAGCCAGGCATGGTGGTACGCACCTGTCATCCCAGTTACTTAGGAAGCTGAGGCAGAAGGATCACTTGAGCCCAGGAGGCAGAGGTTGCAGTTAGCTAAGATCATGTCACTACACTCCAGTCTGAGCAACAGTGTGAGACCCTGTCTTAACAACAACAACAACAACAACAACAACAACAAGTCTGGCCAGGAGTGGTGGCTCACACCTGTAATCCAAACACTTTAAGAGGCTGAAGTGGGAGGCCAGGGGTTTAAGACGAGCCTGAGCACCATAGCAAGACCCTTGTCTCTACAAATAAATAAATAAATGAAAGTGAATGAAAATAAAGGTAAATGGACCAAAGACCAGTCATGGTGAGTGGGATTGGTGGGAAGACTGGTGATACCCCAGTACCCAGCCCAAGCGAAGCTCACACCATGGAGCACAAAACCTGGAGTGCAGCCTCCTAACAGTGAATCACAGGAGCAAGTGAGCTGCCCAGTGCCTCTTATCTTGGAAGGAAACCTGCCTTACCCAGGGCAGAAAAATCTCTTTTATGCACCAAATTCTAAAAGGAATTTGATAACCTGATTATTGTACAAGGGACCTCGAAGATGGTTTCTTTGAAGAGTTTTGCAAAAGGTACAATGCAGAGCATCATCTCTGGGGATTCTATGTTCACTTAGTGTCATATCATGGTTCTATGCAGAATATTTCTTAGGGGGAAGAAGCCGGGGGCCAGACCATTAAGGCTTTGATGGCAAGGGCAGAGCCTTGATAGGGTGGGAGTTGCAGTCCAGGACTCTGCAACAGCCCAGCTATCTTGCGGACAGCTCCTTCCTTTCCTCCACTCCGTGCTCCCAGACCCAGGTGAGCAGTGTGGCCTCAGGATCAAGGGACCCTCTCACCCATGTCTCTGAGTGTTCTAAAGAGAGTCTGCCACCTTAACCTCATCAGCTGTTACAGCCAGCACCCAACCAGGTCCCCAGGGGTTCTCAGGAGAATCCTCCAGACCCAGAAAGTCAGGTAAAGCCCTGGTAGAGAGATAAAGATTTTTACAGCAATTCCATAAGCTGTATAATTAAAATAATTTCTAACTTCCCTCCCAAATCCTTTCCCTTCTCAATCCAGCACCAAAACTTCACATATACGAACTGCAATGGAATAACAGGGACACGTGACCAGGAGAAACAGGATAAATTATTTCACACCAATCTATCTCCTGGCAAGGCTAACGAAGATGTTGCAATGCATGATTTCCATGGAACCCAGGTTCAACTCCTAAATCCAAAACTGCCTGTGTGTCATATGCCTTCCCCCAAGCTAACCTACCTGAGGCCTCAATACAGGGATCCTGGCACTGTAACCCAACCAATCAGGACCAGAAGGCCCCAAGATGGCCACCACACCAACACCTGGCCTTCTGCATCAGAATGCCAGGCCCTGAGGAAGGGAACACTCTGCCTGCCTGAGCCATTGGTCCCCTAGTGATTACTGTCAGGCCTCCACTGGTTACTAATACACATAAGTACCCACCACAAACACAAACAAACCATCCTGATCTGAGGAAGTGTAATTTTATGTGACGGAATGTATGTGTTATCTAACGCTGCATAACAAATTATTCCCAAAACATAACAGCCTAAAACAATAAACAATTATGTATTATTGTACGTAGTTTCTATTCTGTGGGTTATAAATTTGGGAGTGGCTTAACTAGGCAGATGTGGTTCTGGATATTTCAGTCAAATTCTCAGCTAGGGCTACAATTATTGGAAGGTCTAACTGGGACTGAAAGATCTGCTCTCAACATGGCTCACACATGACTATTGGTAGGAGGCGTTTGTTCCTTGCTGGCTATTGACAGGCGACCGTGGTTACTCTCCATGTGGGCCTCTCCATAGAGCTGCTTGGGTGTCCTCACAACATGGCTGCTGGTTTCCCCCAGAGCAAGTGATCCGAGAGGGAGAGCAAGGAGGAAGCCCAATGCCTCTTATGACCTAGTCTCGGAAGTCACACTATCAATTCCACCACTTTTACTCATTAGAACTGAGTCACTAAGTCTAGCTCACACTGGAAGGGAAGGGAATAAGGCTTCACTTCTTGAAGGGAGGGTTATCAAAGAATTTGTGGACATACTTTAACAGAAAAGTTTCTAATTCAAATAATTACAAGACCTCTATCAAGAAAACTCTGGCCAGGCGTAGTGGTTCATGCTTGTAATCCCAGCACTTTGGGAGGCCGAGGTGGGTGGATCACTTGAGGTCAGAAGTTTGAGACCAGCCTGGCCAACATGGTGAAACCCCGTCTCTACCAAAAATTCAAAAATCAGCTGGGTGTGGTGGTGCGCACCTATAGTCCCAGCTACTCGGGAAGCTAAGGCAGGAGAATCACTTGAACCCGGGAGGCAGAGGTTGCAGTGAGTTGAGATCATGCCACTGCACTCCAGCCTGGCAACACAGCGAGACTCCATCTCAAAAAAAAAAAAAAAAAAGAAAAAAGACTTTCAGAATTACAAAATTACACCCATTTTTGTCTTCTTTTTTACTTTTTTTTAATCCTTCGGTGGAAATTTTAATTAAAAGTGGCATTAGGCCAGGCCCAGTGGCTCACGCCTGTAATCCCAACACTTTGGGACGCTGCGGAGGGCAGACACCTGAGGTAAGGAGTTTAAGACCAGCCTGACCAACATGGAGAAACCCTGTCTCTACTAAAAATATAAAATTAACTGTGCATGGTGGCTCATGCCTGTAATCCCAGCTACTCGGGAGGCTGAGGCAGGAGAATCGCTTGCATCCGGGAGGCAGAGGTTGCGGTGAGCCAAGATCGTGCCATTGCACTCCAGCCTAGGCAACAAGAGCAAAACCCCATCTCAAAAAAAAAAAAAAAAAGTGGCATTAGGTTGATAGTGCCTCCAAAACGGGAAGAAAAAGGCAAATAAACAAAAATAGCACAACAAATATAAAGCACGTAAGATGAAAGAAATAAACCAAACTATATCAGGAATCAAAATAAATGCAAATGGACTAAACTTCTAGATAGAAGGCAAAGAGTATCTGATGGAGATTTTAAAATCCTATATGCTGTTTTCAACAGATGCCTTTAAAACTAAGGATAGGGGACAAGCATGGTGGCTCATGCCTGTAACCCCAGCATTTTGGACGCTGAGGCAGGTGGATCGCTTGAATCCAGGAGTTCAAGACCAGCCTGGGCAACACGGTGATACCCCATTTCTACAAAAAATACAAAAATTAGCCAGTGCACGCCTGTAGTCCCCACTACTCAGAAGGCTGCGACGGGAAGGATCGCTTGAGCCCAGGAGGCAGAGGTTGCAGTGAGCCAAGACAACACCACTGCACTACAGCCTGGGTGACAGAGTGAGGGACCTTGTCTCAAAACCAAAAATAAAACTAAGCTAGGAACTGTATCCTTTTTGATTCCTAGGGAATAAAAACTGAAGTATAATTTTCAGTGGCAAAATCACCAGGTGTGATTTTGTACCATCAAATCTTCTAAGCAAGTTTGTTTTTAGAGTGTGAGGATTGCTATTAAAGACAACTGTCTGCAGTGTTGTGCCAGATACTTTATCTTTCAATGTAGTAGTAGTTTGAAAAACATGTAGAAAGGCCCCAGGTCATAGTTGGGGTAGATGAGGTACATAGAGGATACAGAAAACTCTTATCACTGAACTGTGTCTGTCATATAAAACCAAACTCCAAATCTGTCTGTGAAGATTCAACAAATTGATGGAGGTAAGACTGTAACGTACCAAGCATTATGCTAAGTACTCAATAAATAACAGCTATCATCACAGGCATGGATAAGATCTAACATCCTCAGGCTCGGGGGATAAACACAACAGCACCCTGTGCCCTATAATCCTAATCAACGGCCAGGCTGCAGAAGCTGCCACGTCATCATTGCCAAAAAAGACAAGGAATGCTGGGCTAAACCACCTTCCCAAGGTGCCTTCCATTCTTCTGTGTCTTTATAAAGAAATGTTGCGTATACATCTAACTCACTGCCAAAGAATGTTGCAAGGTTTCTTTCCACTTTTGAGAAAAGAGCCCAGGAATTGCTAGAAAGCCTTTTAAATTTTATATGAGCATTTTCTCACTCACAAAATGAGTATAAAGTGCCGCCCTCTTGTGGTAGTTTCATGCAATTTCCTTTCCCGAAGCTCTCCCAAGGCACTGAATTAATTAATTAATTTGTTTATTTATTTATTTATTTTTGAGATGGAATCTCGCTGTCGCCTAGGTTGGAGTACAATGGACTGATCTTGGCTCACTGCAGCCTCCAACTCCCAGGTTCAAGCGATTCTCCTGCCTCAGCCTCCCAAGTAGCTGGGATTACAGGCACCCACCACCACCACGTCCGGCTAATTTTTGTATTTTTAGTAGAGATGGGGTGTCACCATGTTGGCTAGGCTGGTCTTGAACTCCTGACCTCAAGTGATCCACCCACCTCGGCCTCCCTAAGTGCTGGGATTACAGGCGTGAGCCACCGTGCATGGCCTGGCACTGAAATTTAAATAGCACATTCCACTTCCATAGGTCCCCATCAGTGTTGCCAGAGTAAAAACCCTGGGCTAATGTACACCAACATGACATAGTTAGCCATAGGCTGATCTAAATGAAAAAGGTCAGATGATATACTGTATGGTTCTTCCCAATGGGCGAATAGTCTTATGGACAGAGAAAAAGAAATAGGCCCCATGTGCCACCTGGCTTTAAGGTGGAACCTGGAGCACATCTGGGAAACTCACGGCTCCCACTCAGCCCTGCTGTCCCCGCAGTACATTTGCTCAGTGAGAGCCCTGTGGGCAATTTGTCCTGCACATCCCCTCCAAATTAATCTCCAAACAC